TATCGATTACACGTGTAGTTCCACGTGTAACGAATTCTTGAAATTTCAAAAAAGTTTCAAAATATGAATTACACGTGTAAAAGTTGATAAAATATTCGAGAAATATCAAAGTATCGATTACAGGTGTAGTTCCACGTGTAACAATTCTTGAAATTTCAATAAACATTCAAAGTATGAATTACCCTGGCGGATTGGTTAAAGCGGATTTTGAGCGTTTTCGCTTAGAGTGAAAATTTATCGATAAATTGTTAAAAAAAATTATATAAAAATGAAAAATAAAGGTAAATCAGTGTTTATATATATGATTTTCGGAAAATTGTGACAACCCTGGCGGATTGTATGCGATGCGAATGCTCCACGAAATTCGCGGGAAATTAATGAAACACGAGGTTGAGATTGAAATTATATCTAAACTGTATAAAAAATGATAAAATTGATAGTATAATTATTATAAAATTAATAAGTTTTATGCATTTTAATATGATTTTTGTTAAATAATTATAAAAATTTAATGTATTTATTAATTTCAATCTATTACAGTTTATCATGGCAGCACTCTTTTTTTCTTTTTAAATTTTTTCTGTATTTATTTTTATCAAAAGCAAAACTCTTATTTATTAAACGGAAATATTGGTAAAAAAATGTATTAGGGTCAGTTGGGGTAAATGGGGACAAGAGGTTTTCGAGCTTAACTTACAGTTTGAAAATTAAGTTCAACGTCATTATTTTAACCTCAGATCACCTGCAATAGGTTTTGAGTATTACGAAGCTTTTATGTTGACAATTGGCAGCAAGATAAAAAAAGTTATCGCTCAATGCATAAAAACTTGAAAATCAAACTCAACAGTTTCAGTATTTTGTCTCGCATTTCAAAGAAAACAGACTTCAAAATCATACCAAATTTTTTTCTTATTCCTTATGACTCCTATAACAGAAATTCACTTGAATTTTTGATTTTTGTCAATTTGGTTAATTAATATAAAATTAATAAACAAGCGGTCCCCATTTACACTGAGTTTTCAAATTTTTGGGGTAAATGGGGACAGCTTGTCATTATTAACCAAATTAACAAAAATCAAAAATTCAAGTAAATTTCTGTTAAGGGAGTCATAAGGAATAAGAAAAAAATTTGGTATGATTTTTAAGTCTGTTTTTTTCAAATTCGAGACAAAATACTGAAATAAAAAAAATAAAAAAATTTCAATTGGTTAAACTATTATATATCTACTACAAATTTTTTTCAAGTTTTTTCATCCCTTAATACAGTCATATACTTAAGGAAACTTTTTTCTTAAAACTTTCTTAGAAACTATGCTGTCCCCATTTACCCCAAATTTTATGAAATTTTCTAAATTTTGGGGTAAATGGAGACAGTCAGTGTCATGCGTTTAAAGTTTATCTAAATTTTTTTCTGCCGCATAAAATTAATCCTGGGAACATAAATAACAACTTAAAAAAAATAAACCCGCAAATATTACCTTTTAAAGGAAGAAACTTGAGTAATTTGTGAAAAATAGCGATTTTGTCCCCCAAACTAATTTTTGTCACCCATATTTTTGATAAAAAATATAAATTTTCATCAATATTTTTGATTAAATAATAAATCTTTTTTCACCGATATTTCCATTTAAAATTAATTTTTTTAACAATATTTTTGATAAAGAAATTCACTTTTTTCATCAATATTTTTTATGAAAATATAAATTTTTTGATAAAATATGGTTAGGTGGGGTAAATGGGGACAAAATCGCTATTTTTCACAAATTACGTAAGTTTCTTCCTTTAAAAGGTAATATATGCGGGTATATTTTCTTTTAAGTTGTTATTTATGTTCCCAGGATTAATTTTATGCGGCAGAAAAAAATTTAGATAAACTTTAAACGCATGAAACTGACTGTCTCCATTTACCCCAAAATTTAGAAAATTTCATAAAATTTGGTGTAAATGGGGACAGCAAAATTTTTAAGAAAGTTTTAAGAAAAAAGTTTCTTTAAGTATATTACTGTATTAAGGGATGAAAAAACTGGAAAAAAATTTGGTATGATTTTGAAGTCTGTTTTCTTTGAAATGCGAGACAAAATACTGAAACAGTTTGACTTTGATTTTCAAGTCTTTATGCATTGAGCGATAACTTTTTCATCTTGCTGCCAATTGTCAAGATAAAAGCTTGGCAAAACTCAAAACCTCTTGCAGGTGATCTGAGGTTAAAATATTGACGTTGAACTTAATTTAAAAACTGTAAATTAAGCTCCAAATTTCTTGTCCCCAGTTACCCCAACTGACCCTATTATTTTATGAAAAAAATTATTATTTTTGATAAAACAATTTTTTTTCATGAATATTTCCTTTAAAAAATAATGTTTTTCAGACATATTTTTGAAAAAATAATTCATTTTTTCCAACAATATTTTTGATAAAAAAATAAATTTCTCACCATTAAGATTGTTTAAATAATAAATTTTTTTTACCAATATTTCCGTTTAAATTTAATATCTGTAACCTTTTTTTGATAAAAAAATTAATTTCATTCACCCATACTTTTTTAATTAAAAAAATTAATTTTTTTCAGACATATTTTTGTAAATAATATTTTAAAAGACGCTTTTTTCAATTAGAAATTAATAATTTCTCTTTTTCTTTTTCTAGGTCTTATATTATTAATATTTAATATTATATTATTGTATAGGCATTTATTGCCCTTAAATAATTTTGTAATTATGGGCTACAATTTTCTTTAAGTAAAAAAAAAAAATAAATAAAACAATAATTTTTTTCATCAATATTTTCTTTAAAAATTAATCTTTCTTTAACCATATTTTTCAAAAAATTTTTGATAAAAAATTGTTTTTTTACCAATATTTTTGATATATTATTAATTTTTTTGATAAAATGGTACATTTTTTCCACCATTATTTCCGTATAAAATTAATTTTTTTCAACTTTTTTTTTAATAAAAAATTCATTTTTTCACCAATATTTTTTATTAAAATATTAATTTTTTTGATAAAATAATATATTTATTTACCAATATTTCTGTTTAATAAATAAGAGTTTTGCTTTTGATAAGAAAAATACAGAAAAAATTTTAAAAGAAAAAAAGAGTGCTGCCATCTATACCTGCTAAAAAGCGTGTCTCTATTGATTTCATTGACAAATTTTGATAATTAACTGTGATAGATTGAAATTAATAAATACATTAAATTTGTATAATTATTTAACAGTAATCATATTTATATGCATAAAATTTATTGACTTTAATAATTATACTATCAATTTCATCATTTTTTATACATTTTAGACAGAATTTCAATTTCAACCACGTGTTGCATGAATTTTCTTTAAATTTCGTGGAGCATTCGCATCGATCGCATACAATCCGCCAGGGTTATCACAATTTTTCCAAAAATCATATATATATATATATATATATATACTAGGGGGCTACGCCCCCTGCGCGCATCGCGCGCCAACCCCATCCCCCCTCCTCTCTTCCCCTCCCCCCACCCCAAATTTAAAGGTTAAGATCGTTTCAAAACTCTGAATATAGCCGTAAGTCCCCCCTCCCTTTTCTTCTACCCCCTTCTCTTGACTTGCGGCTATATTCAGAGTCTTGGAACAGCGGCGGCAGCGGCTTCGCGCGCCAACCCCCATCCCCCCTCCTCTCTTCCCCTCCCCCCACCCTAAATTTAAAGGTTAAGATCGTTTCAAGACTCTGAATATAGCCGCAAGTCCCCCCCTCCCTTCTCTCCTACCCCCCTTCTCTTGACTTGCGGCTATATTCAGAGTCTTGGAACAGCGGCGGCGGCGACGTTGGCGGCGATATCTTTTTGTAATATAGGTAGATAAACACTAATTTACTTTTATTTTTCATTTTTATATCATTTTTTAACAATTTATCGATAAATTTTCATTGATTAATTAATATCAATACCCAGGTGCGAATTTCGGTCGGCCGCCAGAGATGGTTGCTTGGCCCATGGTCGGCCCAACTAGGGCTGCACGAGAGTCGGTCGCCCAAGTTGGACCGACAATGGTAAATATTGTCACCCAAAGGTGGTCCGACTATGGTTCCCATAGTTGGGCCGACTGTGGGGGATAATGGTCGGCATGACTTGGGCAGCCACAGTTGGACCAACCTTGGTCGCCCTAGTTTGGCCGACTATGGGATAGTCGGTTGACATGACTTGTGATTTAGCAATCACAGTTGGGATATACTTTAAACAAAATGGTGATTAATAAAACTGTGGCAGCCAAAATATTAAGAAACCCACTTCTTAATGGTCGGCTCAAGTCGGGCCGACGGTCGGCTAAATTTCTTTAAAGATGCAACTTATGAGACTTATTTTTCCTTAGACTCTCATTTAAGCGTAGGGTAATGGATAGCGTGTTAGATTTCGGTGCGTTAGGTTGCGGGTTCGATTCTTGCGAACGATAAATATTTTTAAAATGTATGTATGTGTGTATAAGATTGCGTTTAGTGTTTTTGTATGATGAATTTAGAATAATTACTAATATATGTTATTCGTATAACAAATTCTTATATTTTATTTTTTATTGATCGCCCAACCTTTGGCAGCCACAGTTGGGCCGACAATCTTTACCATAGTGGGCTCAACTATGGCTGCCGACCGTCGTCTCCCATGGTTGGCCCAACTAGGGCAGCCACAGTTGGCCCGACTTGGGTACCCATAGTTGGGGCAACCAAGTCGACCCTAGGTCGGTTGACGTTATCAATTCACTAGTTGTCCTGTCCTCTGGCTGCCCAAGGTGGGCCGACCGCCAACTCGCACCTGGGTAGTTAATTTTTAGCTCCAAAAGTGTAAGTGCTGTTTTGGCGGATACAGCTTTCTTACAGCGCATCCTTCATATTATATTTATCAATAAATATAATATTACAAATTTTAGAGTCATAAAACAAAATGTTTTCTAATCACCCCTAACTTACCCTAAGCCTTAAAAATTAAAATTATTTTAAAACTTAATAAAATAAAAATACTTACCACGTTTGCAAAGTCTAATTCTGCTTTATCAAATAAGGCTTGCTTCAATAAAATATTACCATGCTGCAATCTCGCAACGATAAAATCAGGTTTAAGTTCTAAAAGTATTTCAAAATCAAGTAAAGCAAATTTAGCTTTCCCTAATGCTAAGTGTACAGTTCCTCGTTTAAAATATGTTAAGTAATTGTTCGGATCACTATCTGTAAAAAAAAATCATATTCATATATATTCCAAAGTGACAAATATTTATTATTAGCGTAGAAAATAAATTCAGTGTTTTTATCTATTCCGGTGTCAAAAATCAGTTTCGTCTGGTTTACATGTCAAAAAATACAATAAAAATTCATTTTTTTAGGTTTTATATTTTTTTATACTAGGAAAAAATTCTATTGTCAAGCATAGATGCATAATAATTATATACTTTCGACAAACAAAGTAAAATTAAAAGTTTCAAGATGGCAGACATAATATAGTGTCAAATCCATTGTAAAATTGAAAATTTTTGTCAATATTGTTCAAATATTTGGTGAAAAAATGAAAAAAAATTAAAGGTAGCATATTTTTAATATATCGCTGTAAGCCTTTCAAGAACCAAATTTTTTCTTAAAAAAAAACATAATCTTTAATTTTTAAACAAATTTTTGGTCTCAAAACCAAAGTTCAGATATTAAAATTTATTATACTAAATTAAAAATATTGGTCGAATATTTAATTTAAAAATCAAGGAACTTATGAATGAGATGTTTAAAATATTAAAAAATGCACACAAATACTTTAACAAATTGTATATTCCAATTGTTTTGAATAGGGGCTGTCCATAAACCACGTAGTTAGTTTAAGGGAAGGGGGGTTCAGTGAAATTCTACGGTAAACTATGAAGGGGAGGGGGGGGGGTTTCCAACTATGACTACGTAGTTTTATTTATTCTTAAAATTTTTAATTTCAAAATGTTAATAACTCTGAATAAAATAACAGTAGGATATTCGCTAATATGTCAAAAGATGCGTCTTAAAAAACTCTACAAAACTAGAGATAAATATCTATTGGTGTCAATACATTTTTTTAAGTTATGGGCAAAAAACAATTTTTCAAAAATTTTAAAATGCAATAAAATAATAGTTAATCTTTATTAATATTGCTCAAAGTACTCTCATTATTTGTCCGCCAGAGAGACTGACAATTTAAAAAAAATTATTTCTTTAGTTCTAATAGTATTCGAGATATTTAAGAAAATGTAGCGTATACACACACAAGCGAACGACATTTTTTAAAAATGTGATTTTTGTATTTCTGAGATCGAAACACATAAGGATACATCAAAAAATCAAGTTCGAAAAAATAAGTTCGTCAATCATTAAAAGACTAGTCTATCACTTTGAGACGGGACACTTTTTCCGTAGAATTTTAGTTAACTTTCTTTAATAACTTAAAAATATCGTTGAAATATTGAAAACGAATCATCGAATTTTTAGAATCTACACTGTTAAAAAGGGAGTTGAATTTCAATTCCCTAGGGGATGCTATAAAAGTCCCACCCTTTTGGAGTTAATGCTTTACGAGTTAATTTTATGCCTAGGGAATTAGTTTTAAGGAGTTAATTTAATTTATTTAATTTAATACTCAAAATATGGAAAGTCAAATACAAAATTCCAGGCAAAATGAAGGAGAACAGATTGTTTTTGGTGATAAGTTTCTTATATGGAACATCCCGGAGAATCCATCCTCCCCACTTTTTCCACCGAATTCACTGTCGTCTTTCATTGTTCTGATGGAAAGCTTGAATCAATCCCTCAATATTGATAAACTCAATCCCATAGCTGTAGCCGATTTGGTACATAGTGTCGTTAAAGGAAAGAAACTAACCAACAGAAGTGGCATCAATAGTGTCAAGATTACTTGCAAGAGTTTGAAATACGCTAATGCGTTGCTTGGTTCTCCAAAAGTTACTGAGAATAAATACAGGGTTTGCATCCAAAAATGAAACCAGGAAGGTCTTGAAGAGTATCAACTTTAACAATCATATATTCTCAATAAGATTGAATTGACTTATCTAGGTTTAACACTGCCATCGATAATTCAGCTTACTTAGTTTGCTCTCTAAATCTGAATAAGTGAAATTTCACTTAAAATGTGTCAAAAGTCTTCCACGTAGAAAAATAAGTGTATATGCACTTTTAAATAAGTGGTTTTCACTCAAAAATAAGTGAAGTTTCACTTATTTTTAAGTGCATATACACTTATTTTTCTACGTGGAAGACTTTTGACACATTTTAAGTGAAATTTCACTTATTCAGATTTAGAGAGTGAATTCCCTGTTGTCCCGATTGTTTCTCGCCTGGTTCGTTGTTTTAAATGCCAGAGGTATAGACATGTGGAAACTCAAGGTAGAGCAAGATACTTTCGCTGTGAATTTTGTCTTGAATCTCATGAATCCAAGGAATGTCATAACAAATTTAGATCGACTATTTGTAAAGGCCCTCATTCTGCTGCCTCGGTTGAGTGTCCGAAATATATTAAAGAAAAGAAAATAATGCAGATTCGCCTAGATCATGGTATAGGTTATCAGGAGCCGGAAGCTAAATATAACGAACAGTTATCGGAAACTGAATCGGATATGCAAGGAACAAACAATTAGATATTGTAATTACCCTTTCAACACTGAATCTTCTCATCCTATAGATTTATCGATTAATTCGAGTAGTTCACATGATTCTTTTCAAGAAAAAGAGGAAGATCAGTCTCAATTTTCAGATCTCGATAACACTTAAATAGAAAATGAAAATATTAGAGGTTGCACGCGTTCAAGGTCAAGTGATAAACTAACTCATAATATATTATTGCATCAACCCAGATTTGTCCCTCCTGGATACAGTGGTTCCTTTGTAAAACCCATAGTTAGTGACCAGTCGAATTCTCAGTTTAACTTTCCAAATTTTCAGATGGATTAAGCCTGGTGCTACTAGCTCCTCCCTTGATGAATTAAATGAAGTTACAAGAAAGCGATTAGAAGATAAAACTCCAACTGCATAAGTCAATAGCAGGATTCATCTCAAATCTTAAATCTAATAAATTAAAATATCTACAAATTTTATAAAAGAAAAAACTAAATGGATTAGAAATTGACTGAATATGATGAGAACAAAAACGTAATGCTCTTGTTAAAAAAATTTGTCTTTGCTCGATTATTATTTAGGATAAATTTAATGTCGTTACTATTGTGGTTATCCTTACTATTATTTGAAATATAATAAATATTTAAAATAAATTTAATTTAATTTGAAGTAGATGGAAGATACAAAAAAAACTTACAATAATAATAATAATAATAATAACAAATAAATAAATAATTTATACTGGTCTAAACTGACTGACTTGCAGGGATAAAAAGTCGCTCTATACTAGAGAAGTAATACTGGTTATTTGTTGAGACTCATATGCAGGCGTAAATTTGGTAGGGGGACAGTTTTCCCAATCCGTATTTCCCAATAAGTTTTTTTCCCAATGGATTTTTTTCCCAATAAATATTTTTCCCAATGGTCATATTTTCCAAAATTTTTTTTTTCCCAATGGGCAGTTTTCCCAATTATATTTTGTTTGGAGTGAAAAAACAATTTATATTGATGTACGTAACTAACTTCAATGTAATATAGCAAATAAATCATTTGTTATTCATAACCATTTAAATTCATTTGACATTTGGTATTTCAAAATTTCAAGTAAAAAAATTCCCTGTAAATTTTAAGTAAAAAAATGGCTGAATCAAATTTGGAATTAATTCAGACTAATAAAAGTTTCATATTAAACATCAACGGATTTTTATATTACAAACATTCGTCAAATAATAAACTAAATCGAACTTATTGGAATTGTAAACGAAAAGGTGAATGTTGTGCTCGAGCAACAACATCGGGCGACTCAGAAAATTTAAGTCTTATTAAGGGACCTGTAGAATCGCCATCATATTAAATTCTAAATTCTTGTCGAAATTTAAAATCGTCAGTATTAAATAAATTACGAACAACTGTTTTTGGCATAAATTTTATAATATTTTGAATGTAGTAATAATAAATTATTTATTTCACCCTTATTCTTTCCTTTATCAACACGCACTTTTTTTGGAAAAAAAACCATTGTGAAAAACGACTTATTATTGGGAAAATGGTTATTGGGAAAAACGTCCAGTGGGAAAAAAATGTCATTGGGAAAACTCTCTACCAATCGTAAATTTATAATACATGGCGCGAACTTGGTCAGTATTTTCCGTAAAAGTCAGTAATTATCTTTCGATTGCCATAAAAAAAGTTTAAAAATATTAATAAACAAATTATCTGCACTTATTTGAAAAAAAGCTATCTCCCCTCCCCTTTGAGCTAGATTGATGATTTTTTTTTAAATTTTCAGAAAAATAACAGGAATCGAATAGCATTTATGCCAATGTCTCAAATAAAAAATTCGCTAAGATAGAGTCAATTGTTTATAGTGAAAAAATCTATCGTTTTTTAACCGTCATTTTCGGGCATTAAATTTTTTTTTTAATTCTGCGGCACTCGTTATCGATAATATAGGTCCTTAAGAGTAAAATGACACCTTAAAATTAATTTTTTTTAGGGTCCCGGAATCTTACATCAGAAATAAAAAAAATAGTTTATTAATTAACAATTGGATTGTTCAAAAACTATCAATCCAATCGGGCTCAAATTTTGTACACTTATTAAGGGTCCTGAATGTAACATTTTTACCGAGTTTAAGACCGATTCATTAAAAATTAAACGAATTATTTAAACATTAAAAAACGATTTTTTAAATGGTTTTAATTCGATAATTCGTAAACAAATGACTGAAAAATATCGTTCGACCAGTCATTTTATCCGTCTTTCCAAGCTCTACAACTTTTATTTGAAGCTTTTTTTCATAAAAATTCACTGGAAGCAACAATCCTCAAAAAAATCTCAAAAAGTTGGTTTTTTGCAATTTTAAAGATTTATGACAATTAAATCTCATGGGGAAAAGTGGTGAAAATGTCATAGTGTTATTATAAATCATATTTACTAACAAATGATTTATTGTTTAAACAGGCGAATTAATTGGCACAAAAATGGTCTTTTTCTTACAGCGGGCCTGGACTACATCGCATTGTGACCAAAAGGTTGTCCAAAAAACGTCTTTTATATTGATATTTATGCTCCAAATTTTGTTATTC